TTATCATTTGCTGAACAGACTATCATTTTCTCCAACATATGCTTTTTGGTCCCTTTGTCCAATATCAGATGGCTGTAGATGTCTGGACTCATTTCTGTCTTCTGTTCTATCCCATTGATCTACATGTTTAGAGCATTTTTCCCCATACTATGTTGTTTTTGTACTATAGATTTTTGTAAAACTTGAAATTGTGATGTGTCCTGTTTTGCTCAGGATTGTTTTGCCTATTTGGGGGTCTTTAATGTTTCTATATAAATTTTAGGATTTTTTTTTGCCAGTTCTGTAAAGAATGTTATTGGTATTTCAATAGAGATTGCATTGACTCTTTGAATAGTTTCTCGTGATATGATCATTTTAACATTATTTCTACCCATCCTCCCCAAAAAGGATATCATTCCATTTTCTGATGTCCACTTTAGTTTTTTCTTTGGAATTCTATGATTTTCATTATGAAGGCATATCATGCTGAACCTAGTGGTACACATCTGTAATCTCAACATTTGGAAGGCTGAGTCAAGAGAATTACTATAAGCTTCAGGTCAGCCTGGGCTAGATAGTGAACAACAGCCTGAATTACAGAGCAAGATTCTGTCTCCAAAAAAAAAAGGTAAAAGGTCTTCCATCTCTTTGGTTAGGTTGATCCCCAGGTATTTAATTTTTATGAAACTATTGTGAACGGAATTGTCCTGATTTCTTTCTCAGTAGGCTCACTACTGGCATATAGTATCGTGATTCAGTTTTGTGTATTGCTTTTGTATCCATTGTGTGTATCTCTTAGCACGCAGGAACATGATTCTCACATATAAACACATACTTTATGTTTTGTTCTAAATGACCTAATAAGGAAAACATCCTCCCGTTCTAACTTCACAAATGAAATGAGACCCTGGGAGATCTGCCTAATCCTACCCTGGTTTTAAGCTTGGTGCGTGCTATATCCTCTTGGGGTTCTCGTCCCCTTTTTAGCATTCTCCCAGCTCTTTCTGCGCCAACCCTTAGGTTGAGCGAAGACTTTCTTTCTTGTCAGGAAACTGCTTGGATCCCATAAGTGGTTTGGATGCTTTCTCTGTGTTTCCATGATGTCCCGAGTATTTCTCTACCACCATTCTCGTCACATTCTGCCACACTTATCGTAACAAAGCTGGCAAAACAACCAGACCAAGACCTGGGGAAGTGCCATGCTTCCTTGATGCCATCTTTCATGCTAAGCACAGGCTTGGAAGACAGTAGCTGTCCACTGAACAGGGAAGGAAGGAGAGAAAAGGGAGGACAGAATTTGGTCTGGGTACTTGCTAAAAAGTAACACCCCTGGTCTATCAGACTGGTACAATCTTTGCTGTTACATCAGACAACAATGGATAGAACTGACACAATAGAAAAAACCAGGTCGTGATTATTCCGCTTAGGAAAAGAGTCTTCACTTTTTAGAATTATTAGTATAGACTTCTTGTCATGAGTACTCTGGGAGAGTGACTTCAGAGACGGTGTGTGTTACACAGTAATACTCAGAATGCTTTCAATGGTACACAGACTATAGTTTTAACTTAAGCTTCCTATTTGTTTCAAAGTAAATTAGAAATGAATATAGCTAGGATGAAAAACTCACAGTATTGTTTTTAGGGGCAGGCTAAAGTCTTTGTTTTTTAATTGAGACTATTCAGCCAGGCGTAGTGTTACACATTTGTAATCCCGGCACTGGGTAGACTGAGGCAGGGGGATTGACACAAGTTTAAGGGCAACCTGGGCTACACAGTACTTTCAAAGACAGCCTCAACTATACAGCAAGACCTTTTCTCAAAACTTTTTAATTGATTGATTCGTTAATAAATAAAAATAAAGTAAGACTACTTAAAATAAATACACATGAAATAAATAATGGTATAGATGGATCACAGATGTAGGAAATAATATATAGACAATGCAAAATAACTTAAATTTGGGAACACTCAGAACTTTTAAAATACGATGTGTGTGTGCGCGTATGTGCATGTGTGTGTATGTGTGTGTATATGTAGAACTGAGAATTGAACTGAGGGCCTTTGTACTGAATTACATCCCCAGATCCTTTAACTTCTATTTTGAGAAAAGTTAAAGTGGCTACTTTGTCCACCCCAGGCTCAAATTTGTGATCATCCTTCCTCAGCCTCCCAGAGTGCTTGGATTACAGGCATGTGCATAAAATATGAATCGTTTTAAGTACAAAGTATGCTTTATAAATCAGTGCATCTCCAGGGTAGCTAAACACACAAATCATCCAGGATTTTGCTAAAAAACAAATTTTGATGGTTCAGCACATCTGGGAAAGGGTCTAAGATCTAAGATGCTGTGTGTCTAAAGCATCATTAATCTCACGCTACATGTGGAGTATCAAGGTTATAAAACATAAATCCAAGTATAAAGTCATAATGAAAATATTATCTACTACCCCCGTTTTTAGTTTTTATACACACTGGGTACTCTTACTAGTGTTTTATACACATTAAACATCAGTTTTCACAAAAGTCCCACAAAATAGCTATTAATAGTCTCTGCTTTACAAATGAAACTTTAAAATCATAATTAGTTTGACTTTTAGTCACAACTTTCCCCCACAGGGTAAGACATGCAGGCAGAATGCACATGATAAATGTTATTTTATAAGTAACAAATATAAAATAAAAGAAATTAAGCCTGAAAGACTTAAACCATTGCCTTAGTCTTGACCCACAGAAGTTCTCAGCATCGCTCTGTTCCCATGTCCTGTCTGTGACCTCACTGTGAAACAGAAAGTAATCTGCTCCAGGGATCAAAGCCTGAAAAGTTTTCTCATTTCCCCACATTCAAAACAAAACAGCTCTGGGCAAAGGATGCATTTCTACTCTATGGTTGTGATGGAAGGAAAAAAAAAAGACAAAGAAACTATTAAAGCAAATTAAAATAAAAGAGCATTTTAAACATCAATTTGCACCATCAACCTGTGGTGAAAATACACACACATACATGCTCTTGTGCACATATACCTACACATATGTGTGTGATAATGTACACAACAGATTTAGCTGCCTGCAGGAAAGTTATACCGTTAATACTACTAACTCATTTTGAGTTAACTTGAGCTACATTTATCTGGTTCTTGTTTTTGTAGATTCCAGTGTGCCTAATTGAAAATGAAGCCAAGAAAAAAAATAAAAATAAAACAAAGGTTTCATTTTAGAGAGCTCCAGGGCCTTTTGTAGTGTGTGGGGGGGAGGAGTGGGGAACCTTATATTACTGGTCACAGAGCACTAACGTGCTTTCACGTGGGGAATGCTGTTTCCTGCCTGCCTGAACAGATTTCAAAATCTTGAGGCTTGTGACTTGATCTGCATGTTCAGTTTAGCCTGTTTTGTTTACTTTAACTGAGAAACATCCATAGAAATTACTGGCTTCACTTGAAAATTGAAAGACCTGGCAACATTGGGCCCAGTTTTGTGCATTAGCTTTGGTTCCTGGCAATGGGGAGTAGCTGTCCTGGTGGTTCCCCACCAGGCTTTGCTCAGGTCCTGCCTGGGCCTGGAGGCCACTGAATTTGGAATCCACAGTTCATCAGGAAGGTTATGAACAGCCAATATTTGCTCTCCTCATCATTATCCTGGAGAAGTAAATGTGTTCTAACACTGAAAAAACAGTTTCCTTTTATCAAAGTGAGAGCAGCTGGTTCACACAAGAATTATTCATTGAGTTTGTGGAAGCCGAGTGTGTCCCGATTTAAACACTTCATATTGCTCAGATATGCAAGTGTTCTTCCTGGTTGAGCACATTCTTGGCTCATTTCCTGTGAGGCTCATTTTAAGTGCTGGAGGGGACTCCAGAAGTGGCCCAGTGATTTTCCTGTTGTCCAGCTTGCTGGTGATTGGAACTGAACTTCTCCAGAGCCAAAAGGGTTGGACAGAATAAATGGAAAATTGGGTAGACAGTAGAGAAAGATGATGTTCTCAGAACAGTTACTTTCTTTGAAACAGCGAATACTATGTCATGTTCACTTGGGAGGTGGAGAACATTCCAAGCATTTGGCCTTATATTCACTCGGTAAATATTTAGTAAGTTTTGTGCCATACGCTGTGAGAACTGGGGGCACAGTGATAATGAGACGAGGCCTGCTGCCCTGGAGAAGTTCAGGCTGGAGGTAGCTACCAAATATTTATTCCCCACAGGCTGTGTGAGAAGTGACTGGTGCTACCTTAGAGGGGGGACAAAGACCTGTCCATTAGATCGGTCAAGAGATTCCACGATATTCACATCTTCCTTGCTTCTGTGCCTTCAAACACACACAAAATACATTTTAACTTGAAAAAATCATTTCTAAAATCCTACCATTCCCCATCCCAAGATACCACCATCCCCCTAAGCAAGCATGAACCCAAAATCCTCCAAGTATTTGTGGTAAGGCAGATGGGGGAGACTCAGCTACAGAGCTGGCACCAGTACTCAGGCCCTGACAACACATGGCAGGCAGAAACAGCGTTACCAGGATGTCAGGGCTTGTGACGGGAGCCAGAAATTGAGATTTTAAGTAAAATACAGGACATTATGTTTTGCAAGAGTTAGAATTTAAAAACATGTTTAAACTTCAATAGACAATCAAAAGTGTGTTTGGAGTCAGATTTTAGTTAGGAGTCCTGACACCATCATCTCCATGCCAGGCTACTCCAGGCTCAGTCCCCTCTTTGTGTTTAAAATTGCTTCTCAGCAGGAACAAGGAGCTTAGGATTTGCTTTTTTCAGGAAGTCCCATTGCACCTCTCATGTGTTTGAAAATCCAATATTGAAATATTCAGCTTCCTGCACGTCTCTTTCATTTCCCTCTCTACGTCTATCCATCTAAAAACAATTCTTTAAAAAGAGTGGAATTTGAACACATTCACCGACACAAATTATTTTTTCAAAAGAATCTTTGAAAGATACAGTGATTAAGGTAGTATTCAGTTCTTCCGACACTCATGCTTAACTTTTCATGTTCACATGACTCTGGTTTTGGAATCAAAACCCTTTCTGCACACTTGTGCTTTATTTGTGATTGGTCTTGTGCTAAAATGGCCTTGAGTGGCTTATTTTTCAACGTCCACAAAGACTTCGTTTTCTCTTACTTGCAGGTGTTCTCTGTCCTGCCTGGATCGCGTGAGCCAGTTACACGGAAGCTTCTGTTTGGATTTTTCCTTCTCCCTATTCTCAGAGCTGCTTCCTTTTCATCCAGCTGCAGACAAAGAAAAACATAAGTTGAGAGTCTAAGGGCTCCCTGTCTTTTGTGTTTAGTCAGAGAAAATATTTTCATTTTCTAATTGCTTTACTGCAGTGTCTTACCTCCTTAGGACCTAATTTATGCAAAATAAGTGGAATAAATCCTAATTAGTAGCCCTGGATTCCTAACTTCTCTTAGCAACGTCGCAGAAGAGGGCTCAGCTCTAAAAATGCTCCTCATTCTCTGCTTTCTAGAATGAATTTTAAAAAGATAAACACAGATAAACCAGCATCTCTAACACAATACATTTATTTAAAACACCAGTATCACGGGGGTGATTTGACTAATATTTAATCTTATTTAATCTTCATATAGTTGCCTCTAAAGAGTAAGCTGAGAAGCACCAGTGCTGACTGCTTGGACTTACCTTGTTCCTAGGGAATCTAAGTGATGTTTTCATCCTCATCTCTTGAAGTCAAAGCCTTTGTAGTTAGTAATGCTTAATATGACCTAATTTTCTGAGAATGAGGAAAGTGACAATTTATGGAGCCAGAGACAATAACAGCTAGCGTTCCCTTATTGCTTCCTACTTGCCAGCACTGTTCAAGTCACTTGCTCGTTTAGTACTATTACCATCCCATCCTTAGACGGCTCAGGAGAGGCAGGACAAGCATTACAATTTGTCCAAGGTCACAGAGGTAGTGGCAGACCACATTTTTGAACCCAGAGCTAAGATCTGCAGCCTTAATCAGCGGGCTGCCCTACTTCCTGTACGGAAACAAAGCAGGGACAGGAAGGCTAATGTTTTTTTCCCTTACAAGTTTGCCTTGAGTACCATTTGTTCTTTCTTTTGGCCCTTATTTTTCATTTGTAAATTCCAACAGTCTATTTTCCAGGGTGTTATGGAAACTCATTATTTAAATGTATTCGTAGTTCCTTGGAAGAAAGGCTCCATAAATATTACACAGCCATTTAAAAATATATGAACTGTATTCACCTAAATGTGATGGTTTTATGTCTCACTATAAATAAGTAAATGAGTGCTGATTTTTCTATCTGAGTCCTGAGGGCACAGAAGCTCCAAGTACCTTTTCTCCATCTTACAATCCAAGCTCCTGAGGTTTTAGGGCTGAACGTCAAACTCTGTACCAGGAGTGAGTCCCCTTAAAGCCCCACCAAGGTGGTCCCAACTTTTGATTCGAACCTCTACAGTGCTGTCACATGAAACATATACAGAAGCAAAAGAGTGAATATCTGATGATACACTCACACAGTAGCATACTATTCAGCAAGAAAAACAATGAATTACCTATATGCACCATCTGGATAAAACTCACGAACACTGATGTTGAAAAAAATAGGTACAAACTAATCTGTATTGTACCATTTTATTCATATAAAGTATAAGAACAGACCAGTCCTGGTGTCGTGGTGGACAGAATGTGTACAGACCCACGAAGCCACACAGGGAACTTGTGGAGTAAAGAAAATGTTTTATGTATCAAATTGGGTATAGTAGCTACATACACAAGTAAATATCATAAACTTGTACACTTATGACTAGTGCATTTCATGCATATTATACTTCAATTAAAAAAAAAAGAAGCAGCACATAGAAGACCGTTGAGCTGAAATATGTGCCAATAGCTTTGAGATCAGTGCTGAAGGTTGAAACCAGCTCACAACAGAGTTCCTGTGTCAAGCTAAGAGCTTTGTACTCAATTCTGTCAGCCCTGTGGCAGAGTAAATAAGTGACATGATCAGATTTGAGGGCTGAAAACTCAGTCAGCATCATGTTTCTGGGAGCTCTGGAGCTGTGGAAGGGGAGAGCAAGGAGACATGATACACTTAACTCTTCATCTGCAAATATTTTGTTTGAGGGCTGGGCATATAGCTCAGCAGTACAGGGCCTGCCTGATAAGCACGAAGTCCCAGGTTGGATTCCCAGTACAAAAAAAGTGGAGGGAGCACACTGCTGTAAATATGAAATATTCACTCATGAAGTGAGGTGGGCAGGAGGTAGCAGCATGCATTCACCCTCCTGCATGAGGCCTGCTGACCGTATTAACACAGCTTTTCACCACTGTGAGTTCTGAGAGCCTTAGAGCTACACAAGCAAGGAAGGCCTGCCTGGCTCTGTCCCTAGCTCAGGGCTCCTAGGTCCCCAGCCCCAGCCTCTGTCCTTGCTGCAGTTTTTTCCTAGCATTTGCAGGGTGCAGGAGGTAGTCACTGCTAGTCGCGCTGACCTAAATAACATGCAAGGGTCACAAGGTCATTTCCATGGGGACTGTGTGTAATTTGTATATTCTCACTCAGGCGTGCTGTCAGAATCCAAGCTATTTTCCATATTAAAATTAAATATTAAAAACCAAACTGAACATTGGTGATACTTAATATTACTGAATGACAGTTACAGGTCCATTTATTTTAGTATTTGTGTTGAATTTCTATTTGTTCAATAAATGTCTTTAACCTATGTTTATAGTATGTATACTTCTTTATGTATTTAAATACACACACAAAGGATAATGTTGTATCAGTAACCTGCACTTCTTTCTGGTATGGGCTTCTTCACATATTTTGCATTAAACATAATAAAATACCCATTTACAGACCATTCAGTAAATTAGAACAGTTAGATTTAAAATTATTTCACTTTATCAGATTAAGATTCTAATTTTAAAAATGAGTTGCACGCATGTATGTGCATGTGCACGTGTGTATGTGCAATGAACAAGAACTAAACAATTGAAAACAAGTTGCCTGAACTTTAACAGTTAAGATAACCTCTGCTCAATAAATATACGGTTGAAAGAAAAGATAAAGATTAGTCCAGGAAAACCCACTACTTTACAAATGGAGAAAGTGTGCTCCATCAAGGCTAAGGGATTTAAACAAGGTCTCATGGTTAACACAAATTCTTTACTGGGCTTCTCTTGACTTCCAAATGAAGCATATTTTTTAAATCTTAATGAAAATTTAACCTGCAAATTAGAAGAGAAAAAGATTTTTGGAAAAATAAGTATTGTTATAAAACAGTGGCCATTTGTGTGAGATTAAGCCAGCTAGGAGCTGTAAGACGTGACAAGGGGGTACCGGGGTGGGACGGATCACACCCCTACAAAGGAAGAAAACAAGCGGGCTAGGGCGGGGTCAGGATAGGGCGAAAGTCAGGCTTGTACATCAGACTTCCATTGATTCTGTGAATCAAGGATTGTAAGATTGATGGGAATGGGAGGAAAGTTGCAAAGCAACTTAGGTTTATATAGTAACTTTAAAAAAATTAATGCCAAAAAATCCATCGTGAACAAACTACAAAATTTTAAATAAAAACAGGATCTAACCTTCACATGACTCTGTCTCACATACCTCATTGTGATACTGGCCCTGGTTCCAATAAAACTATTTACAGAATAAACAACTAACACATGAACCATGGTGTGCCAATATCAGGTTTTAAAACTTTGCTGTAAATATATCTGGATTTTTTTTTGCATCCCTTTAAGTTGTGCGCCCAATATTAATGCCTCGTTTATTTTTATCCTGTCCTGCCCCTCATGTGGATTTGGCAAACAGAGCCTTCCTTTTAGGTTAGGTAACAAAGAAGTGTGAATATAAAACAAAATTATGCAAAATAAATAATATAAAACACAATGAAGTATACGTGTCTTATACTTCTATGTTCCTTTTATGTATAGCTGCCTTAGTTTCCATAAAGTACATTTTTAAAATTTGTTTATTTATTTTGTTTGTTTGAGTTGTTTTATTGGAAGCAACCTAAAGCTCAGTTCAGGCCCATCTTAAACTCACCATGAAATCAAGACAGGCCTTAAATTCATGGCAATCCTCCTCCCTCAGCCTCCCAAGTGCTGGAATTGCAGACATGCACCACCACCCCTGGTGTTAAAGTACATTTTTATAAGTGAGAGAGAAAATGGAAACCCTCATGTGGGATTGAGTGGATCAAAGTACAAAAATCTCCTTGATCAAAGGTTTGGGCAGCCAATCAGAAGCAAAGCAGTGGCACAAAACTAGAGGCCAAGCTAGGATTTTAACAAGTTCCACGTTACTTCAATGTCTAGTATCTGCTAACCTCACATTTTTGTGCTGTGTTTAAAGTTTGTGTCTTGGCCTGGGGATTTAGCTCAGCGGCATAAGCACCTGCCTGGCAAGCACAAGGTGATGAGTTTGATCCCTGGTACCACAAAAAAAAAAAGATTAAGGTCTGTGTCTCCTAAAGTGGCATGTTAAAATTACTTGGTAAGTTTTAAACATAAATCATGGTTTAAAAGCACTGGAATACCTCAATTCAAAGATCAGGTCAGAATTTCTTCAGGATATAAGTGGTTATTTGTCTAGTCTTGCAGCTCTTACATACTTGTTTCCCAAATAATCTCCAGTCTGAAAGAACACATCTGGAACATCGTATCTCCTGCAAGAATGTACAGTACAGTGATTCCTTGTTCCAGGACATTATATGCTTTAGTGAGTTATTAACAGACTTTGGATATTTCATTCTCCTACTAAGGTGTCAACTGAACTCATAATCAGTGCTTGAGTCACTACAGTTTTCTCCTAACTGAATTTGTACCTACTTAAAGATTTCCTGTTGTCCAGATCTGAGAATATCACCATTCATGGAGTCATCGTGAAAGTGGTTACAGCTGCCTTCAGACTCTGCAAATAGTTCTCAGGGTGGCTAATGTGATGTTTGTGCACATCTACCCCCAGGAAAACCAAACTCTTAACTTGGTTGTGCTGGAACTCTTTGGGATCATCTGCACAGCCATTTATTCTAGGACAAGTTCATTTCTTGTGATGAGAATTTAAACCATTTAGTATTATAGCTTTTGGACTTAGTTGCTGTTCTCTTGAGTAATTGTAGCCATGAAATATTTTTTCTATGACTCTGTGTTTGAAAAATGTTTCGTTTTATTTTATTGTTGATTCCTGACAATATGATAAGGATTCTTCCTTTTAATATTTTATCAGCTAAACTATTTGGTGTATCAAAAATAATTGATACGTCGTAAGTCATTAAAGAAGCAAAAATTAAGTCATAATGCATTTCCTGGAGCCAAAGAATACCCTTTACCTTTACTCTTGGAGGCCATTTGGGATACAAAATTAGAACAAAACTGAGACTTGTTGGCGCACATCTTTGTGTTTGGTTGCCAAGTACAAGAGGTGAAATAAGTCTCTGATAAATATCTTCAGGGGTACACACTCATGTTGGACAACCAAAAATTACCACCCTGTCTTGGAAAGAACATAGTGCTCCCTTCAGTAATTTAAAGACTCATTTTTCTCTTTATGGCTGCTCGCACATCCTGGGTAGATCAGTAGAATTAAGCACCAAAAGCTCCACAGGAGAGAACAAGCCCCAAGTGCTCCAGGACCAAGAATGGTCAGCATGTACCAAGGAGGTAAGAGTCCAGAGGTGAGCCCTGAAGAGCTAACCAGACTGGCAGGATGGGGCTACACGGATAAGCTGGCTAGTAGGACCCCCCAGGAGTTAAAGAATTCCAAGGCCACCTTATTTTATTAAAGGTTCTGGTACAGTAAGAAACACATGCTGAAAAAGTAGTGTAACTGAGGTACACTCTAAGTATTTACAACAATAAAAAATATAAATTGAACATATTTTTAATCCCACTAGTATATCTCTGGGGTTGTTTTACCTAGTGGATATTTTGTTCATAGATGATGCCTTCGGTGAATGCTAGGT